AAAAAAAAAAAAAAAAAAAAAAAAAAAAAAAAAAAAAAAAAAAAAAAAAAAAAAAAAAAAAAAAAAAAAAAAAAAAAAAAAAAAATTTGATAAACAACAATAGCTATAATAAATTATTATTTTATGCAAGATGATAATTCAAAAGATATTATTTTCTTCTAAATATAAATTTTTTTTTTTTTGGATCAACAACGGGTATTATTTTAAATTTTTTGTCAGTCATTTTTTGAAGATCAAAAATTATCTCATTTTGTTTATCATGGGTGTGCGAAATTGCGACAATTGCGACAATTGTGAAATGTTAATCAAACTCGATAAAACCCTTATCTGTCAAATAATCCGAAATCCAATTTTTTTATTATAATAATTTTTATAAATTTAATTTTCTTTTTTCCGATTTTAAATTCCGTTACTAATTCCGAATAATTTTTTTTTTAAAAAAAAAATATAAATCACAAATCTGGTTAAGTTAAATACTTCTCAAATATCGATAACATTACATTACGATCAGTAATTAATTATTAAGATACGACTAATTTTTTTTTATTATTATTAACTATTATTGTTCTCTACATAAAAATTATTATAAAAAAGAAAATCTATTTGTATACAAATTATTTAAAATGAATATAATAAAAACCCAATATTTAAATGAACATGACAGATCCCACAATAAATGATACAAATGACCATAAATTAACACTGTTTAAAGTATTTGCAGCACTGGTAGTAGCAGGGGTAGAGGAAGCTGATGGTATAGCAGCTGTTGAATCACCAACAACATATGGCATTGAACTAGGATATGCTGCCGGTGCTGGTGCTGGTGCTGCATCAGCTGCTGGTGCTGGTGCTGGTGCTGCATTAGCTGCTGGTGCTGCTGCTGGTGCTGCATTAGCTGCTGGTGCTGCTGCTGGTGCTGGTGCTGTAGTTGAAGTAGTTGTATCAAGGGAAACATCTTCAACATATGGTTTTTCTCCTAAACAAACAGAGACGGGTTTAATAGTGAATCCAGCTTTTGTAACGATTGGTAAAGCTATTGGAGCTCTCCCAGCGGTTTGTTTATAAAGGTCATGTTCAAGAGAAATATGACCGGTAGTAGCAGGTTCCTTAACCCATTCAGTGAAATTTCCTTCAATCCATGTAAGTTGGAAAGTTTTATCATCTGCTGACATCCAATCATTTGTATCTTTATCCCAAATAACAACTTTGTAACCAAGTTGAGTTGCAATTGATCTTACACGATCATCATAATCCCCGAATGGTGGACGTACATATTTTGGTGTAAGTCCAACAGCTTGTTTTATTGCAGCTTCAGTCCATTTAAATTCTGCAATAATTTGTTCATTGGATTGTGATGTAAGAGATGGATGAGACCAAGTATGTATACCGATTTGATGTCCCGCCTTAACTGCTCTTTGTAAAATTTCTGGATTTTCAAATACTCTAGAACCAACAACGAAGAATGTTACTTTATCATTTGTTGTATCAAGGAAATCTAACAAGGTGGACGTGAATTCTCTATAAAATATAAAAAAAAGATTTTTAAATATGAGGGTGTTGACATGATATGACATAAATAAATATTACATGTAAAAATAAAACTTACGTTGGACCATCATCAAAAGTGATACCCCAATCTATATATTATCGAAAGAAATTATTTAAAAGTTAATATTTTAATTAATTTTTCAAGTTAAAAAAAAATAATAATATTTTTTTTTGTACTAACCTCCTTTATTTGGACATATGATGACGTCGGAGTCGGGCTTAGTACACCCAGTACAACTCCAATTACAAAAAGTATCCTTGTCTGGACATTTGACTCCTACATCTGCTGCTTTTACTAAAGGAGCATTGGGAACCTTTGTTAAATCAACCAAAGCGGTCCATTCCTTCACAGGTGGTGGAGGTTGATCAACAGGTGGCCATTTACCAGTTAACGCCGCCGCGTCTGTAAACGTAACAAGTAATGATGCGAAAACACAAAGAGAAATAGTTGTCTCTTATACACATCTAGATGTGTATAAGAGACAGCCATAATATTCTTGCCATTCTGAATGTACAATAATAGTTTTAATTCTTTTATGTGCGTATGCGAAACCCTTAAAAGAAAAAAGAAAAAAGAAAATGGAAAGTTCGAAACTTCACCCTTATTTTTATAAAGAAAAAAAAATTTTTTTTTTTTTGTTACAATTCATTGAAACAATAAATAAAAATTTATTGAAGCACATGTAGAATATAAGCGACAAATTAAGTACTCTGAAACTAAAAAAAAAAACAAAATACGTATATATATTATATATTAATATATATATATAAATAAACATATAAATAATAAATAAAATAAAATAATAACAGATAATATAAATATATATATATGTACTGTATATATATATCACTCGGCCTTTTTTCGGATTCCAGTAATAAAATCGGGATTGTCGGGAGAAAAGAAGAATAAAAGAATAAAAAGATGCTAAAAAAAGCGGACAAATGGATATAAAGAATAAATATAAGAAATATATAAATACAGTATATAATTATTCATTTTTACCTTTTATTATCCTTGATTGTTATTAAAATAAAATAAAATCTTTTAAAAAAAGTAAATTTTTTTATGTTACCAAAAATAAATAACAATACGAATGGACCATAATTAAATTACCTTTTTAATAATAATGAAATTCAATAAATTTCGTTTCGGAAAATATTCAAAAAAATTAATAATTTTCATTCATTATTGCCAAGAAAGTACACAAATTTTATAAAAAAAAATTAAAAAAAATTGCAAATCACCAATTATATTTTTATGACGAAATTACCTCTTTTCCTTTAACAGTTTAACTGATGAGATCTCTCCAAAGACGCAAGGGTTTACATGGGATTTTTAAAACTATTACGAAATTAGTTATAGTCTTATTTCATTTTCCTTAAATTAAATACAAACAGTAAAGTGTTTAATATAAACAATTTTTAAAATAGGGAAACACAGTAAATGGGACGAAAAATTATTGAAGGATCGAATCTAAAAAAAATGTTGATCTTTGTGATCATTGTGTTCATGTGTTATGATTAAAGTAACACAATATAATTACTAATTACTCAAATTGGAGTGCCAAGAATTGCCAAGAGTTTATTATGCGCAAAGAAATCAACATACATATGGTTGTGTAACACTTCAATTGTTGATCATTGCGGATTCAAATCCATAATCTCGGTTTTATAATATATTGCTAATATATAAAAATTTTCATTATTTAATAAAAAAAAAAATTGGATTATCAAGTTATTATACTTGAAAAGTGAAAAAAGGGAATTATGAGATAAAATGCCATACATGAGGAACTAACTCCGATTTTTCCTTTAGCCAATTATATTACGGAAATTAAAAAACTTTAAGTTTCGAGCTTTTTTGAGCCATTAAAAAATTATTTATGAAACGTAACTATGTAACGTTTCATCCCATTATAAGGTTACTTTCGGAGAACTAAAATTCTATTATTATATTTGAGGATAAACATAATTTCCATTTTAATAATTTTTTTTTTTTTTTTACGTGGCGCCCATCGCCAGCTTTCTATTTCAAAATATTTCAATCATACACTTATCAAATTTTCTTTGTTCCTGTTTAAATTATAAAGCCCTTTGTAATATTTGTTGCCGTTAAATCCATGTTAGATTACGGGTGATTCTTTTTTTGCAATTTTCCCTTATCTCGCCTAAAGTTTAAAATCTTTTTTTTTTTAAAAAAAACTTTAATTTTTTACAACTTAAATTTTTGCAACTTAAATTTATGTTTTATAAATATGTTCCAATCATTTGATAAAATCATTGAATGAATCATGGTCAGGGCATCAACATAATTCCATTTGCTAAAAAAAAATATTTTATAAAAAAAAAAAAATGTATTGTATATCCCTTGATTGTTACAAAACGTAAATTAATTATAATAATTTATTTTTTGTTTCATTTTTATTTTTTTTTTTAGTAAACAACTATTAAATTATTTTACCAACTAGGTGCTTAAAATATAATTTAATATTACAAATCCCTGCTTTTTGATAAACCTTTTTGATCGAGTTATAGTATTGTGACACAACTAATCAGCTATCACGTGTGCGTGCCACGTTACATTTCGTCATTTAACAACATTTTTATTTAAAAATTCTGAAGGCTTACAAAAACATTAAAAATATCTTTTTGTCAAAATAAGTAATTTATAATATATTATATAAATAATTCGGCGAAAATAACTTAAACGAAAAAACTAGTTTTGTTATGAAATCGGCCAGAATTAAAGTACTATCAGATCTCGTGAGCTAATCTGGCTAGTGCACGCCCACTTTAGTTTAGAAATTATGTTAATCATTTGGCTGGGGTGCATGATTAAGTTATAGTCTAGTACTGTGTAACTATCACGTGTGAGTGCCATGTTACATTTCATCATTTAGCAACATTTAAACATTTATTTTATTATTTTTTATTCGAACAAAAATAATAATTTTATTAATATATTAAACCACGATATATAATCTGTCTCTTATACACATCTAGATGTGTATAAGAGACAGGTCTAGTACTGTGTAACTATCACGTGTGAGTGCCATGTTACATTTCATCATTTAGCAACATTTAAACATTTATTTTATTATTTTTTATTTAAAAATATTTTTTTTTTAAAAAAAAAAGGAAATGATCCCTCACAAACTTTAATAAAATTTTTTAAATATTTTCAAATTGAAAAATAAGTAATTGATAATATATTATATAAAAAAAATAATCTTTCATGTAAAAAAAAAAAATAATAATAATTTGACGAAAAATAATATGTTAACGAAAAAATTATAATAAACCATTATTTTTTTATTAAATCTGTAATACTTTATTATTCCAATGTTTTAAGTATAATTTCGATAAAAAGTTTCGAATTTTAATTTTTATAATCGTTTTTTAAAATTTTTTTTTTTTTTTTTTTTTAAAAAAAAAAATAGTAACGCACTTTATTGAATTATCTGGATCATCGTTTTTTAAAATTTATTAACCGATAGATTTTGAACTGCAAACTGCGATAATTTTTTTTGTGATACGAGCATTTGACGTCGTCGTCCTGTCTGTCTTCCTGTCGTCCTGCGTCCTGCGTCCTGTCGTTATAAATTTGAAACTAATATGAAATATATTAGATCCATATTTAACAAATTGAATGTCTCAACTCAATCATTACGATCCACATTATGAAAAACCATGATATAAAGAAAATGTTCTTCGTTGCATAATTTGAAGGATGAACCAGTGAAAATTACGAGATAGAATTTACCAAGGATACGATTTATAATGATTTATAATGCAAAATTAAAATATGATGATGTTAAATATCTATTATTTCTTAAATGGGTATCATTTTATAGATTTGAAATATAAAACGAATTGGTGAAGGTGGACTTACTAAAGTGTACTATGCAACATAGATTAACGGTAAAGCAAAATATGTTAAACAAATAACAAAAATGGAAGTTGAAAGAAAAGAAAATCTGAACCTATGAAAACTGCTTTGAAAAGATTAATTAGATCACAGAATATTTCGGTTGAATATTTAAATAAGGTATCAAATTCAGTAATTACACATAATTTTTTTTTTTAGTTAAATTATTTTAAATTCATTTAATGATTTATATTTGAATTTATCTTAATTTTATCACAGCTTTAAGATACATTGGAACATACAATATTAAATTTTTATGGAAGAACAAACGATCCAGGAACAAAAGAACTTAATGATGATTAATAAATTTTCTGAAAGAGGAAGTTTAAGACAATAGATTTAAATTTATACATGAATTGATTGAATTGTCATAAAGATTTTCATAGTGGAATATATCACGTCTTTATAATCTTAGTACAAAAACCTAAGATAATAAAATATGTGGCGTATTTGAAGTAATAAATAGTGAACCATATAGGCACATACTTTATCTTCCAATATTTATAGTTATGACAGAATTATCATCTGGAAAAGCTCCTTTTTATGAAAAAAGACATAATATTATCTTAGCGTTAGAAGTATATAATGGACTCGGACCAGAATTTGGAAAAGGAACTCCTGAAAATTATAAAAAAATTAGTTTATAGATGTATGAACGCTAATTCTGATCAAAGTAATAAATATGGTTACAAAAGGAAAAGAAATCAAAGCTATGTTCAAAGAAGTTGATGAAAGAAATACAAGTAGGGCGATCACATTCGGTTATTTATCAAAACCTATGAATTAATCTATTATTACTTCATACATAAATGATGAAGAAACAACGAAGGTATTTTTTATTTATAACCATTATCAGTTATTAAATGTTCATTATTAAATAATCAATCTTTATTAATTAATTTTAACGCTCGCTTAATGTATTATTGTCAAGATTCTCAATAAATTAATTAGAAGTTTCTAGTAATTCATTACAATTAAATCATTTACCAGTATTTTAAAATATTTAAATTATAAAGTAACATCGTATAATTTATTTATACTAGTTTTTTACGATGAAAGTATTGCTGATAATAAAGTACTAATTAATTATATTTTTCAATTATTTCATTTCATTCTACATAAGTTTTCTTTAATATATGGCCTTTTATTTAGAAATATTTGATATTTATTAGGGGTTTATTTCTGCGCGCTCGCGCAAAACGTATTTGCAAAAAAATTTTATCTCCGCAGAATAGGCGGTAAAAATGAGGGCGTGGTATCTGATATATTGTAACAACTAGCGTTAAACCTCGTTGCTAAACTTAATTTCGCTGCCAGGTATAGAGCACGCTTGAATAACAAATTCTTTTATTTATAACTAGGCGTAACCCGTCGCGTTGCGCAAGCAAAGAGAGTAATAATAATATGTTTAAATTTATTTTCCATGCGTCTAGTTTTTTAATATTATTAAGATGGCATTAGTAGGAAATAATAATAAATTTATACAATTATATGCTTATACAAATAATAGTGGATTGTGTGTGTGTTATATACATTATATGAAATACTATTATTAAATACAAATTTTACTTTTAGAGTGAAAATATTTCGTGGTATACAATATTTTTTGTCTTGCAATTTTCGCTATCATCTATGAGAACTTTAATATGTTGATATGAAAGTTATTCTTGAGAAGGCAACATATAATTGACCATGTGAAAAAACAGGTAAATACCAACCCTGGTTAAAGTTTGTCCTTGTAATTTATTAATTATCATTGAAAATCAAAGCAAAAATTTATTTATCACACGAAATAAATGTTGCAATACTGTGAAATTCATGATTTATTTATATATTTACAAATTCATTACAAAACAATTTTAAATAAGTATTTTATTATAAAAAAAAATCTAAAAAATCCCCATAAAATTTATTATGCCGATCTATTGTCATGAAAAAAAACAAATCCCCATAAAATTTGACCAATTATGAAAAAAAAATCCTCAATTGTTACACAAAATTTGAAATTTATTATCTACTACTTATTAGTATTAGTAGAAACGGCAGTCACCGGAAAACTAAAAATAATACATTATTAGTAATCAACATGGATCAAGCGGGCCTTAACTATAAAGAATATGGATCTTACTGATCGACATTTATTTTAATAGAAAATTTATTGGTACAATAAGTTAACGAACAAATATGATTTGGTCTCCATTTATAGATACATCCATTTTCTTTTTTTTTAAAAAAAAAGTTTTTGTAAAAGAAAATTATATAACACCAAGAAAAATGTATACATAACTAACGAGAAAAAAGTATCTGATTGTGTGACACTATCAAAATTGCTGCGGTACCATAGTGTCACAGGTCTTGACACCGCAGAACCGAAGATGTTTCCTCGGATTGCGCAGATGGACAATGGTCTTTGTGTTTCCTTGAATTGTGATACTAGTCTTGAGACTGAAGATCCCTCCACTCCCCTCTTTATTTGTAAATTAAAGGTTCCTCTTTTAATAATTATATCCTAATCAAATAAACATAAACTATATCCTGGTCCTATCGGCCGATCATTTATCCGATCTTCCTTAGCCAAGAGGGACGGAAAAATAATTTAATTCTTTACATCATATTGAAATGCAAACTGCGGTAGAGTTTTCATACTGTGTGATACGAGTATTTGGCACATGATATTTTTTTACGCCTTTCATCCTTTTTTATTAAAAGTAACAGTAAATAAAAAAAATCTTTACCCTAATATGAATTTTAAAATGAATGTCAATAACGATAAAGAAAAAATGTTAATAGAATCTGAGCTTAAAAAGTTAAATATTACCAAAAAAAATTATAGTCCGATAAACAATCATGAAAATTGTTATAATCCGGATGATAAAAAATTATGGTGTAAAGAATGTGTACCTCGTTATATAATTGAAGGTTGGACAAGTGAAAATCATGATATTGATAAATTTATCAAGGAAACAATTTATAATGCAAAATATTATTATGATGATTATTATAATGGTGATAGTTATAGTAATGATGATATTAAAGATAGTAATTTTCCAATATTTCTTGAATGGGTACCATTTGATAATTTTGAAAATATAAAGCAAATCGGTGAAGGTGGATTTGCTAAAGTATATTCTGCAATATGGATTAATGGTAGATCAAAATATGATAAACAAGATGATGGAAGTTGGGAAAAAAGAGAATCTGAACCTATGAGGGTCGCTTTGAAAAGATTGAATAATTCACAAAATATTTCTGCTGAATATTTAAATGAGGTATATTAAATTTTTAAAATATGTTTTTTTTTATTCTGTTGATTGATAAACTTTTTTTTAATTTAAACTATAGCTTAAAACACATTGGAATTATAATAAGTTACAATGTGATGTCTTAAAATTTTATGGTATGACAAAGGATCCGGAAACCAAGGAATTCATGATGATTATAGAATTTTCAGAAAAGGGAAATTTAAGAAGCTTTCTTTTAAATGATTTTATCAATATTACGTGGGAAGATAAAATTTATTTTTTATCTAAATTATCATATGACCTTCAAAGTTTACACAAATTAGGATATTGTCATAAGGATTTTCATAGTGGAAATATATTACAAATTTATGATGATGAAGTAGAATCTTATGTTACTTACATTTCAGATTTTGGATTATCTGGACCATCAAATAAGCAAAAAACGGATGTTAAAATATGTGGCGTATTACCATATATTGCACCAGAAGTATTAAATGGAGAGCCGTATACATTTTCTTCTGATATCTATAGTTTTGGTGTAATTATGACAGAGTTATCATCTGGAAAACCTCCTTTTTATAAAAGAAAACATGATATTAACTTAGCATTGGAAATATGTAATGGACTCAGACCAGAATTTGGAAAAGGAACTCCTGAAATTTATAAGAAATTAGCTTATAAATGTATGAGCGCTAATCCTGATCAAAGACCAACAGCAGATGAATTATATGAGGTATTATATTTTTGGTATAGTTACGATCAAGAAAAAAAATTTGGTTATGAAGGAAAAGAAATTAGAGACATGTTTGAAAAAGCTGATAAGGAGATACCAAATATTTCAACTTTGTATGAAAAGGATCCTGATGCTATTTACACTGGTAGAGTTTTTACATTCGGTTATTTATCAAAACCCATTAATTCATCTGTTATTACTTCTTACCTAAGTGATGAAAGTGATAATAAAGGTAAGGTATCAATTAATAATTTAAATTTTTATCTTTGATTATTATTATTATATTAAGTATTATTTATTTAAAAGGATGCCAAGATTCACAACTAATTGAATTAGAAGTTTCTAGTTCATTATAATAAAATAAAGGTAATCTAATTTATAATGTATTTACAATATCCGTTCCTAATTATTAGTAAATATCTTGTTCTTAGATATAAATTAATACTATTTAATTTATTGTAGTCGTATGCGATCTGATGACAAATAATTGAATAATGTTTAAAATCACAGTTTCTTTGTTTCTTTTTTATTTGTTCGTGTAACTTTGAGTTTAGAAATATTGATATTATTTTTTCTGTGTCAAAAGAGGTCTATAAAAGCCACGTTATAAATATGGATGTGTTACATCGTGACAACTAATATCTAAGTGATCTAATCCTATAGAATACATGTTTCTTTATTTTAATTATGGCTTATTAATAATTTAATATAAGATGATTTAATGCTACAATAAATTGACATTATACGTAAAAAATTATTTAATGCTTTATGAACATGTTACAATTGTTACATGAAAAAAATCAGATCCGTTTGTAATAGGTCTTTGACCGTTTCCATCCCTAATTAGAATCGGTCTTGATCTTTTTTTTTTTTTTTTTTGAAATTGTTAAAAATTTTTATATTTGTAAAATTTAGATTTTTTGAAAACTCTTCTTTTAATAATAATAGTATGATAACCATAGTGAATGAAAATTGTAACAAATATTTCTTTTTTGGGATTAATTGTTTTTTTGTAACGTTCGCTATATAGTTTCGATATTTGGATGGGATTGATTTATGGTACAAACTTTTGTGCACATGACTACTTACGCCATTCCTAATCCTTTTTGTTGTTAAAGACGGTGAGTTATTTTCTTTTCTAAATAATTTTCTATTCGCATAATATAAAATTTTAATAACGATAAGAATGAACAAACTGAATATCTCTAATAAAAATTCTAATCCGGAAAAGAAAATCGTTATAGACCAAAATATAACAAATTTTGGTGTAAAGAATGTTCCTTGTTGCATATTTTGAAAATATTGTTAAATTATTTTATACATTATACTGGATTTGGTCTAAGTTTAACGTAAAATTTCAATATATATTAAAAATATTATGACATTATTTTATTATTATTACAAAAATTGCATACAGTATACTAAAATATGTTGAACACAACACATATAATATCTATTGATAACAACCAGAGGTTTTTGGAAAGTAGTTAAATAACCAAAATAACAATATGAGTTAAAATAATAAAGGAATCAAGAAGGAACAAAAGGACTAAAAGGAAGCAGAAATAATGATGACTGAGGAACAAGAAAAATTATGGGAGAGGAAAAGAAGGCAAAATGAATGATAAAAAATAAAAAAAAATGATAGGAAGCAAAAGGAAATGAGAAATGATTGGGACAAAAAAAAAAAAACAAAAAGAAATGAAAAGAAATGGCAAGAGACAGCAAGAGACTAAAAGGACAATAAGAATGAAGAGAAATAACCAGAATGAGAATCCACTACCTTGTTTTTAATAATCACTATTGCTCTATGACGTTACCTCAAAATTGTCTAAAGAAAAACAAAATTAGAAAAAGCAATAAGAAAAAATAACATCAGAGGCCGTAATAGTTGTTAAAGGTATGTAAGGCAGCAAAGAGAGGTACCACAGCACTTTTTATAGTTTCTTTCCTATTTTTCTTGAAAATTTGTTCTTTCTTCTCTCCCTATTCTAGATTACATGGGCTTGGTCGGACTCGAACTGACATCTTTTAACAGGTTGAAAGGTTGTATGTCGATAAAGTTGTAATTTCCGTAATTTTCCGGTAATATTCTGACTCGTTGTAATTGGTGTAATGTCCGAAATGGATGTAATGTTTGATGAATACTAATCGTACATTAGATACTCTAGATATTAAAGTTCTAAGTATAGAAGTGAGGTAATTTTTACAATGTTTCGAAAAATTAACAAATATTTAATAGGATCCGTTAGGACCCAGAAATATATATAAAAGGGTCAGGTTTGAGTTTGCGTATTTTGAACTAAAAAAATCATGAAAATCTTTCCTTTTTTAGATAATTTTTAATAATGCCAGTCAGAATTTTATTTCCTATTATAGGGGACGTCTAAAGCGGAGTTAAATCACGTGATCATTGAGATGATCATGATTGGTCGCGCGGGCTATCGATCAGTGATTAGTCCTTTTTTGCTTATCATCATGCGCGATGACGGCATGGCGCGAAACAATTTTTTTTTTTTTCCCTTGAAGAAAATAAAATTATTTTCTTTATGTTATTGTGATTTTAAAAATAAAATGTAATTTTTCAGCGATAAAAAAGCTTCAAAGCTAAAGGGGCGAGTATTTGGAACGTTAATTAAGGGAAGAACGCGGAAAAAATAAACGATTAAATAAAAGGGAAAAGAAAAAGTGAGAAAACAAGGGAAGAAAAGAAACGAAGGAAGGAAGAAAAACAAAGAAATGGAAATAATAGAAACGTCCACTACCGTTAGGCCAGCAGCAAACCTTATGCCAGATGAAAAATGGGGTTTGTTTTTTGATGTAACTTGTCCTTTGGAAATCCCAATGGAAGATTTTGACGAAAATTGGTGGCCGTTAGTTTCGAATATCTGGATGCAATGGAATTCGTACAAACAAGCAAATGGTAACGTTCGAAAAGATTTCGCCTGTCATCTTACGAAGCACCGGGAATCGAGCTCACGACAAAAAGAAAATGTCTCTATTGAAAAGCGCCGAATAACGAAGACACGACCATCCAAATTATGTCATGCTAAGATTAGGGTGTTGTGGTTAATCTCGTTAGAAATAGTCAGAATCGAACGTTATAAAGACTCACCCAATCACACGCATACAGTATTAGACTCGGATAGAATTAAACGCTCTCAAGCCGTTCGAATTTTAGTGGAAAATGAAGCGGTAAAAAACTATTCTCCTCCTGCGATCACTGTTGCCGTTAGAGAATATGCAACTGAGTTAGGTCTTGGTACAAGTGTGAGCGAGCTGAAGCGCAAGGAAGTATCTAATATTAAATATAAAGTTCGTGGACCTATGGAATCACACCTTTTTTGCAATTCTGATTTAAAATCGGATATTTCGGAATCCATATCATTTTTGATAGAAAAAGGATACCATGTTGAAAATTACCACGTTTCCCATCGGTCCACCAAATCCACCAAATCCACCAAGGGCATTGTATTCGCGCACCCAACACAGCTTGAGAAACTTCGGAGTCATGGATGGTTGACTCTTATCGATTCAACCCATAAGACGAATAAGTATGATTGGAGGCTTTTTACTTTATACGTTCGCGATCACTAGTCGAAAAAGGAACATTCGGCCTTAATACAATTCGGCCTATATTCGACTAAAATTAAAAAATTCGACTTCAATTAGTAATGATCTACGATTAGACATATATTCAACCTTGTTGAATAAACGTTACGCGTTACGCGTTACGCGTATTAAAAGTTTAAAAAAGGATCATCTTATTGCATTCTTTTTTAAACTTTTTTTAATTTTCTTTCTTCCCCTTCCCCTTTCCCTTCGTTCCTCTTTCCCTCCTTTTACTTCCCTTCGTCCCTTTACTTTTCTTATCCTTTTTCCCCTTTCCCCTTTCCCTTCGTCCCTCAGTTTTTTTTCTTTTGTAGGTCCAAGACGCCCATTCAGAAGGCCGGACTCCTATTTCGAAGGTATATATATACCTTCAAATTTTATTTTGTTGTTTTTTAACGAAACGTTTTACTAACGTTTTCGTTTTTTGCTTTTGTAGATCCAAGACGTGACTGAGATTCGTAAGTATTATTACGAATAGTGGATTTTTTTTAATATTATAGAACGGTTTACCAGCCGTTCTTGTTTTTTTATAGATTTCAAGAGGAAGTGAAAACGAAAGGGGAAGAGAAAACGAGAGGGGAAGCGAAAAATGAAAGGGAAGCGAAAAAATGAAAGGGGAAGCTAAAAACGAAAGGGAAGCGAAAAAATGAAAGGGGAAGCTAAAAACGAAAGGGGAAGCTAAAAACGAAAGGGGAAGCTAAAAACGAAAGGGGAAGCTAAAAACGAAAGGGGAAGCTAAAAACGAAAGGGGAAGCTAAAAACGAAAGGGGAAGCTAAAAACGAAAGGG